ACTTTTTAAAAAGCAATTTTTATATTAAAACATTAACCCTTTACAATTCATATGTATCACCAATGTTTTTCCTTCCACTTTGTCAATGTATTTTAACTTTTGCGATAATTTTTGCACCAGGGGAATTTTGATCAAAATTGCATTCAGACTTATTAATTTGGGCAGAGTAGACGCATTTGCAGCCTTCAGTCCTCCCAGTGAGTGAAGCTGGTAGTCCAGTCCTGAATGTCCCACCAATTTTTATTAAAATTATTCTCTGTGTTTAAAAAATAGTTTTGCTGTTATGAATTTTAGGATTACTTCAGCACATCATATTTTCTACGTGCAGGTTCTGGTTATAAGAGAAAACTATTCATTTTTCAATATATATTCTTTTGTATTTGACCATTGTATCAAACTCTCTTATTCTAATAGCTTTTAGCTTCCTTCTATAATTTTTCAACATTTCATGTAGGTGTAAGAGCTCTGTTTCTTCTCATCATTAACATTTCATGTCATTCCAGTCACTAAAATTTCCAGAACAATGTTTAGGTGAAAAAGATAACAGCATATACGTTTTCCTAATTTTAATGACACACAGATCTCCTAGTATTTTACCATTACTTTTGATGCTGTCCCTTTGTTTAAGAGAGGGCTTCTTTCTTACACTAAGTCACAGATTAAAATAATTTTATTTGAGTTGAATATTGGATTTTGTCCAATTCTTGCTGGCATCTTTTGAAGATATGATATGGTGTTTCCTTGAATGACCAATATAATGCATTAAGTTAATACAGGATCCACCAAAATTGTTTCTCAGAAAAAACACTTTCTTCCTTTGGCTGGTCTATCAAAAAAAAAAATTGAGGGAGAATAGGAAATTGTCATCTGGTCAAACAGCTTGGGGAAGTGCTGCCTGGCATCTTTAGTTCTTAGAGAATCATTAGCTCTTATATGAAAGATGCTGGGAAGTCTAGCAGTCAAGATATTCAGTTAAAAAAAATATACACCATAATGCAGTGTGGTATATTTGAAAGTTGCTGAAAGAGTAGATCTTAAAAGTTCTTATCACAAAAAAATCATGTTTTTTGTACCTATAGGAGATGATGGATATTAACTAAACTCACTGTGGCAATTGGTTCACAATATATGTAAGTCAAATTATGCTGAACACCTCAAACATATACAGTGCTGTATGTCAATTATATCGCAACATAACCGAAAAAAATTCAGTTAAATTTACTAAACTCACCATTTCCAAACATTACCTGTTCCTCCTTCCCTCACATAAGACCAACTAGTAACCCGCTGATTTAGGGTGCAGAATTGAGAAGTACCATATTAATAGCTTTCCTTATAGTAAATTGTCTTTGCTCTCCTGAAATAGAACCTGCTTGGCCATGGAGTATGTACGGCTGCTTAATTTAGTGCGATGGTCAGTTGGTTGGGTTTTGATTGAAGAGTTTTGAATCTGTAATTATAAATGGGATTGTACTGTCATTTCTCATCTCTACTCCCTTTTGGCTCTTTCCTGGGTTTCAGTATTAGTGTGATGCTGGGTTGGTTGTATGAATTAGTATAGGTCCCACATTTTTCTGGGCTCTGTAACAATTTATGCAGCATGGGAATTATCATAGGATTTCATTTTCTTAATTTGAAATGTTTTCTAAGAAATAGCCAAAAGAGAGATGAACCCAGACACAGAGCTAACTGGTTGTCACTGAGTTTGTAATTGAATCTCTCTGTTACCTCTGTTTTCTTTACTGATGAGGCTTCAAGTGCCTCCGTTTTCCTCACTGTGAGTAAACATGATTGCTCTTTGCTCCAGAGGGTTAACGGTTCAGACAGCCTCCTCTGCTTAGAAGCAATAACTCCTTGCTCTTGTCGCTCCAGTTCACCACAGAACAGGGGGGCATCAAAGTCAGGTCAGCAAAGCAGGAAATGATAGAATCCCGACAAGAGAATCAAACTTCTCCATGAGCACGTTGTCCCTGATGCTGGGAACAAAGTGAGGTGACAAGAATAAAGGCCTGGAGGGAGAGAGGAAACAGAGCGGAGCACACTGTGGGGTCTAGAATCCCAAGAAGAGGGTTGAAGAGTATTGATCTGGTTTTTAAAACACTTCCTTTGAAGCGCTGTTGGGACAGTGTTGGACATTTATGGTCTGTAAAGGGAGAGATGGGGTATTTGGGCCACTTTTGAGACCAGTTCCTCCCGCAGCCACAGAACCCTTTATTCAGAGAGATGCCATATTATTATAGACAAAATACTTCCTGAATCTTCTAAGGGATTGAGCATAAGAACACACAAAGATGTTTATATGTTTTTCTTTCTGATACAAGAATTACTCAAAATTAAAAAGCAAACTACCTTAGCTGTGCAGGGCCAGGCTCATGGCAGGCACTTTGGTGATGTTTGGTGAGTAGATGCATAATGTTTGTTAAATAAATGCACACGTGTTGTCCTCCCATTTTTATGCAACTAATGTGCTCCTAAAACAACATGGGGTATAAACTAAATTGAAAGAAATGAATATTTTTTCCAGTTTTTTAATATATAAATATTTATGATATGTAAATATATTTATATATTATTTATTTATAAATTATATAAAATTACATAATATTTATATATAACTATAACTTCTATCCATAAATTTATTAAATTTATAAAATATGTAAGTATGTTTAATATATAATATATACATAAAATAACACATTAGGTGCCAAATATATATTGTTTTTAATTCTTCCTTAGTTGTGTATTTCACAGCACTGAATCTTTAAATTTCAGTCTTCTTTCCCTCAGTACTTTCAAGGTGCAATAATCATCTCAGATATTTCAACATATTCAAGGAAACTTAATATTCAAAATGATGTTTTCTAAATAAGCTAATAAATTAGCAGGTTTTTTTCGCTATATTTTCACATGCTGGGTAGCCTAAAAATAAAAATAATGTTCCTTTGTCTAAAACACAGATTGCACAAAGTATAACTCTTTGACCAAATCCTGGATGCATTTCAAGACAAGAAAAGAGGGGTGGGCGGGAGGATATAGCTCAGTGGTAAAGTGCATGCCTATGATGCATGAGGTCCTGGGTTCAATCTCCAGTACTTCCACTGAAATAAATAAATAAATAAACCTAATTACCTACCTCCCCCACTAAAAAAAGACAAAAACAAAAAATCCCCCCAAAACCTGCTAAGATTGCATATTCCTGAGTTATCCTCTGTAATGTCATGAATGCCAAAAAAGACAAATACGTGTGTTAGAGGAAAACAATGGTTATCAATAGAAAAGTGGTTCCCTCCCCTCGGTGCTCCCCCCTCTTCACTGGAGCACATTTGTAAAGGTGATTTGTTGGGAAACACTAATTCATCCATTCATACACTC